ATCTCCTTTCACCAAAAAATTATTATCTATCTATGCTCTAATGCAGATTAGATGCTTGATAGCAATTTTTCATGTAATAAATTACATTTTTTTTCAAAAATATATTTAACTTATATAGTGTTTTCCTTCTATTTTAAAAAATTAAACAACAGAAAAAAAAATAATAATAATAATAATGACTGTGGATATAATCACTATTAAGATTTCCAACTAATTCAAAACATTGTATAAAAGATTTTTTTAACTTCAAAATAATAGTTGAAAAATGATATTTTGAATCTTTATACTAACAATTGTGAAAAGTTACTTGTCTTTTAAAGTTTTAAAGTTAACTGTATTTGGAGATTAAAAAATATTTATTAATATTGTTATAATTCATAAAGAGAAAAAATTAAAATGTCTTTAAGACGTTCATTATTTTTCACTTGCATTAAAGTAAACTAAATTATAATGCATATTAATCTTTTAAACATAGAGAGTATAGTTCTAAAAAATTAAGAGGGAAGAAATGTATAAAACTAAGTACTTGTTTTTCAATCAAATCCAAACGTTGGAAGCACTTTGAATTATACTGTTACCTTAAAATCAAATAGAATCATGCTAATGGGTTTTTTCACGCTTAAGATGTGAAAGAAATATGTTCAGACTTGTCAGCAAAATATGTTAAGATCCGTCAAAAGTTAAAATGCTGATTATGGGACAAGATATATCCACAAAAGGATGAACAATTTCTTTATCTAGACTTTGGTAGCATATAGTGAAAGTACATGGTGAAAGAAACATAGAAAATTATGGGTGATGACAAAAAAGCATGATCAAGTAGTATACCCTTTGAGATATGGAAGGATTAGAAGACAAAGAATCACTTCAATCCCTATTTTCAAGAACTTATATTCTGCAAATTTCATGAGGATTAAACTAGTGAATCATATAAAAGAATCTATGAGATGAGGTAATAAAGGATGATATCTTTTAAGATAAAAGATTCCAATTACTAAAAGTAATAGATTTGTATCAAAGAATACGGCTATAAAATTAATATATCTATATATGTATAGAGAGAGAGAGAGGAGTGTTATCCATGGATGAATAGAGTCATGACTAGCTAGTGTGAGAACTGAGAAGGTAGGGTCCCAATAGATTTTTCCTGCAATATATTATATAGTCGTGCCAACTTTGAACCCTATGACTTTACTTTTTAGTCTTGGTTTGTGAAAAACATTGAACAATTAGAACTATGATGTTGTGGGCGAGCTAAGAGTAATTGTCAGACTCGAGAGACACCAAATTTGATGATGTGTTTTTTGTTCAGAACATAAGACCACATCAATGTTTTCTAAAAAAAAATAGTTTGATATGGATGGACTAATTGAGAATATTATTTTTATAGGATGAAAAGAAATCTAAAATATAAAAATATAACATTTGATACACATTTGAGCAATGGTATTATAAACCACGTATTAGTTAGGAATGGTTAAATTATGTGATCTTGATCTAAGAGATGTTATTATATATCATATCTTAAGAATGATTTAAGAATAAATATATTGTTTTAATATAGATACTATATGTGAGTAATTTAAAATTGAAAAAAGTTAAATAAATTATTTTTAATTTTACACGTATATAGGAGTTATATTAAAATTATAATTTTTTTTGTTATAAACAATTTTCATTTACAGATATAAGACCCACATTTCTCTTTTTTCTTTATCTGGCTTACTTGAAGGTTTTTATGTCTACTGTATCTACTATGTTTAGGTAAACTATGGTTCTGCTTGAATATTCTCTTTGTTAAGCCAAAAGAAATTAAGAATAAATGAATTAGAAAAAAAAGATAAAGTAAAAATATATATATATATATATATATATATATATATATATATATATATGATTTCAAGATAAAACTATTTTATACATATATTTTATTAAATAAATTTTTAATTTTTTTTAACATATAGATAAGTTAATTTTAGTTTATTAAAATATAATTCATTTTATCTTCATCAATTTGTTTTGTTACAAGTAGAAAAATTTATCAAATAGATTGTGTAAGCAATATTTACAAAATAGAGGGTAAATGTCAGTAATTTGTTCATAATCTTAGCAGGAGTAGAATAGATGCAACCTACCTTATTATTAAAAATAAAGATTTTTTTACAATCCGATTAGTAAAATTAAATTGTTTAATAAATCAGATTAACAATCAAAATAATCATGACTTTATTTATTTTATGTAATTAATCTCATCAAACAAGATTAATTATTATCATTATATAATTATTGTTGTGTTTTAATGTTAGATAATTATACATACATATATTGAGGTTTAATACTTTTATCATAAAAGATCTAATTAAAATTTATTTCCAAAAATAATTAAATATCATTTTTTTAAATTGTTTCCATAACTATTATGTGAAAACTTTAATGAAGCTTATAAATAATTTATCAAATAAATATTTACTTGTTTTCAAAAATTAATTATGACAGTGTAATTTACTAGTATTCTATTTCCCCACCATTTATGTATGTGTAAAGGGTTCAGGAAATGGCACCATCACTCTGTTGCACTATTATTCTCTCCCATATCTGACATATTTCCTACAGAAACAAACATACATTTTCAGCAATTTCTGAAACTTATCCCCACTCCACGTGAATCTGACACGCTCATTTTTTTCATAATTTAGATATCAAACTCATGACATTGCTTATATTCTGGCTCAATTGTCTTCAAAAGATGTAGAACAACTCAACATTATGAAATTACTTTACATTAAACTTGTAGAAAAAAATATACTTGTCTTGTTTTTCAACGGTTATAATATGATTTTTTTTTTCAGTTTTTTATAAAAGAAATAATAAATTTTCATAAGAGCTCACTAATTATTTAATATAAAAAGCATAAAATAAAATATATTAATTAATAAGTAAACAAGTTTTATCCTTTAATAGATTAATTTGGTGAAAAATTTTAAAAAATGTGGAATATATATATATATATATTCCTAACCTTAAGTATTGATTAAAAACATTTGACTGTTTTATCTCGGGTATTAAGAAAATCAGAAAAAAAAATGACAAAAAGGGTTAGGTTAATGAATTAGAAGAATTTATTCAAGTACAAATATGTTCATTAATATAAATATTTTATTTTATGTAGAACCTACTTATTCTTTCAATATTATTTTTCTGCATTTATAAACTATCTGCATTTTTCTTTTTTTTCTACTGTACCAAATGTACCTTTAAATAATTCAAACAACTTATTTAAAAAAAAAAGTTTAAACATAATAATTTTATTTAGAGTTTGATGTGTGATTTTTCACTTGAATATACTTAGGAAAAATAAGTTATCTTGGGTAAATATTTAATATTTTAAAGATTCAAAATTAATTTGAGAATTTCTGAAATAGACTTTTTAGTCTAAAGGATAGGTCTGACTTAAAATGGAACTGATGAGTTTGGCATGTCTAATATGCACCACTTCTTCATATTCCAGCTAAGTCAACTTCTTATATATATATATATATATATATATATATATATATATATATATATATTTTTTTTTTCCTCTTAGTTAATTGCTAAATATATAAATAGAAGTTGTACACTTTTCATATTTTAAATTCCAGAAAAAGTTGTACCCTTTGATTAACAGAATAAATATTGGAGAAAACATTGTGAAAAATAAGGTTAGTGTGTTTGATAGAGAAAAAAAAATAAAAATTTCTGAGTTTTATGAGTTATTTTTACTCCATGTTTATATATTTTTTATTTATTTAATTTATTTGTCTTATTTTTTATTTTTTAACTAAGCATCTATATTTATATATTTTCTCACTTCTTTTTTTTTAATTCTCTATTTATATTCATTCTTTTTTTTATCATATTTTCTTATTCTGACAGCAGGAAACAAGTCATCTAAGTTCATCTCTTGTTTTCTCATATTTATTATTACAAAATTAGAAAACAAGTCATTTCAGTTTATTAAAAAATACAATTACCTATAATGTGTACATTTTTATAAAAAATATTATTTCTTTTTAATTGATGTTTAAATTCTTATTATTATCATGGTTAATTCATTAAAATAAATTTTAAACAATAAAAATTAGACTTTTAATTTGTTTAAGAAAATAACATGCAAAAATCAAATGCTGTGTCTTTTCTAAACAGACATTTTACACTTTTTACATTATGTGATAATGATTCTCATTAAACTTGTATTAAAAATGAAAACAAAGTCATTTGTAAAAATTATAATAACATATATATAGATATGATAATTAAGATAAAATAAAAGTTTAACAAAAATCAGAACCTTTTTATTCCTTCCTTTAAGGAAAATATGATGTTAAAAAAAAAAAGCATTTATATAGTGAAATTAATTCATTTAACAGACTTTTTTTAACTTATAACTATTCCATGCAACACCAGTCTTCATGGCATTAAGATCATTCAAATCATTTTCTTTCAATATGTAAAGAAGGTATAACTATTCAATCACCAAGAAACTAAACTGTTTGTGAAGCAATTGCTTATTCATCCTCTAAAGAAAAATAATAAATTTTGCTAGGAGAAAAAAAATACACCACAAGTTTGATAATTCTAAAACAGAAGTCATTACAAATAGTTCAAATCCATAAAAAGCAGCAAAAAAAAAACTCAAAATACTGTACAACTGGAACAATTGAAAAGTACAGAGGTCTGCTTTATTATACAAAGGTTCTAAAAAACAGTTCCCAGTTCCATTTTTGTCACAACAATGGCAAAACTCTTTGAAGTGTTTGTGATTCTCATGTGACTTCAACTGTGGCTAAAACAGTTACATTTATCTATAACTTCTCGTATTAATAATAAGAAACATAATAAGAAACAGAACGAATTGGAAGCATTTTTAGAACTTCTCTACTTAAAAATAGAGAATCTTTTAGTGATAGTAAAAGTTTCATAAACACCGACAAAATTCTTCTAACTTTGTTTAACAAACTTCAATTGACTTCATAAGTGTCAAGCTCTGCTTCAATTTCAGCTTCAGAGAGTTGTTTCAGCGTCTTCAGAAGCTGGGCACCTTTCCTCCTGCCTCTGGGGCTGCACTCGCCCTGGAGCGCGAGTTCTACAGCACGCGCCACCTCCTCCGGCGGTGCTGTGTGGTGGTCGGCGGCGGAGCCGCCATAAACGACTGCAAGGACTCCGATGGCGTATTCTTTGGCGCGGGAAGCAGTCTTGCCCATCATAGTGACCATGACCGGAACGGCAAGAGCGTGGGCGCGGATCTCATGCGCTCCCTCCGGCAGCGTGCACATCAGCTCGAGAGCCGCGAGGGCACGCTCGGCGGGTGCGCCATCGAGTTCGGGCGCGGCCTCAACGACGGCGGAGACAGCGCCAGCCTCCACGGCTACACGGCGGTTGACGTCGGAGAGGCAGAGTGCGAAGAGGATCTTGGTGGCGGGTTTGGCGAGCGCAAGGTTGCGCGTGAGAGCACGCATGAGGTTTGGAGGGCAAGGAGGTTGGTCTTGAGGAGGGTTAGGAACAAGAGAACGTTCTAGAAGGTGAAGAGCAGAAGCTGGGTCTGTTGTCAGTTGGAGTTCTGAAATGTGGAAGATTTCTTGGAGGTTGTGGATTTGTGGTGGTGGTGGCAGAGGAAGAGGAACATTAAAGCCAGTGTTTGTACTGGTTTTGATGAGGTTGTTGGTGTTTCTTTTGTTGGTGGTGTTGTTGTTGGTGGTGGTGGGAGTGTTGGTGTTCTGAGTGGGGGTTGGGGGAGAGAATCTCCACTGGGTGAAGCTTTGGGAAGTGGTGGAGGAAGAGGAGGAGGTGGCGGATTCACATTGGAAGCTTGGGGGAGTGTGAGGAAGAGGTGGAGTGGCGCCGGTGGGGCTTAGAACGGTTTGGGCGCAGTGGCGGAAGAAGCCACAGGAGAACAGTTGGGTTTTGAGTTTTGGTTGTTGATGGGTTTTCATGGTGGAACAACTTTGAAGAGGATGAGAGCGTTTGTGTTTTCGTTGTGTGTGAATGAAGTGTGATGTGTGCCTTTTTGGGTTTGGTCTGTGACAATAATGATACTGTTGTTAGTACTACCTGGGTCTATTATTTCTGTCACCTTCGTGAAAAACAATGGAATGGGTCAAATGTTACGTGAGTGACTTCCACTTCCCCTCCCCTGTTCATTTTGCGCATTCATCTTTTACAATTTGCATTTTTATCGGCTTTTAATAATATATGAAACAAGATAACTGGTGATATAAAAGAAACAATTTATACACCGTAGCAACTCTAATTTCCGTTCTTCATATGTTTTTTCAAAGAGGGTGATATATGTACACCTAAATACATTCAATCAACTATTAAAAAAATAATATTTTTTAAACTGGGTGTCAAAATAAAATTTATCTTTTTCAAATTCCTGGATAAAAAGCAATATTACTATGAAGAGGGTGTAAAGAACTCAGAAGATTGTTACATGCATTTCTCTTCAAGAAATTTGCAATAGTACAAAATAGATACGCATTTAGTGAGCTTCTGCTATGGTCAGTTTAGATGAATTCAATAATGAAGATAGGACATTTGTTCAAAACTGAAAAAAGAAAAAAACATGGTCTCTAATTCGCGTCAATTATTAGTTAGGTACATATGACATAAATTTTTTACATAATATGTTTAAGATTTTTATAATTATGACAAAAAAATATACTCTCTTTTTAAAAAAAAATTATATGAATATAAATGCACATGAAGGTCATGCTTGAGATGAGAAGATTCCAAGTATTTCCCGTCCATATATTACGTACAAAAGAATTATGAGATTTAGTCCTCACAAACCAAAACGAACTAATTGCAAGACACGCACTCATCTTTGAATATATTTCATAGTTCACATATCTTAAATAATAACGAGACTCTTTTTATTTACAAACACGAACAGCCACTGTTTTCTCTCTTTCTTTCGATTTTCTTTTCGTCATATACAAAAATTAATGATTGAAGTGTTCCTTCCAAATAAATATGTAAAAATTTAATTGAAATTAAATATACTGATGTAATATAATCATAGATTTCTATATAATTTAAAATTATTAACTTTTATTATAACCTGTTTTTAACTTATGTATTTATATATAATGAACATTTATAACGATTATTTTTAAATATATTTTAGATATATGATAATTAAAAATTATTATATAATTAAAATTAAATATACTGATGTAATATAATCCTAGATTGCTATATGATTACAAATTATTAACTTTTATAATAACCTGTTTTTAACTTTATGTATTTATATATAATCAACCTTTATAAGGAATATTTTTAAATATATTTTAGACATATAATAATAAATAATTTAAATAATAACATAAAATATTTTTATAATGATAATTAATTATTTTAAAAATGATTAAAAATAAATTTGAAATATGATGAAAAAATATTGAAAAGAATAGCGATTAAATATACAAATAGATTTAAATATGAACTGCTCCGTAGGCCCATATGCTTTTATCAAATAACCTAAACATTTTAAAGCCCATGATTGTGTGCAGTTAGTTTTCCAATTGCAGATAATTTGAATGAATAGTTAATATTGTATAATTAATTCGTTAATATAAATTAAATTAATTCGTTAATACAAGACAATATAATTAAATTCAATACTTATAAATTAATGAGAATCTTTTATTACATAAACATATTTAAATGTAATATTATCTATGATGTAATAAAAAAATTTATAAAATTGTATTTTGATTTTAACCCATTGAAGAACTTTCCACTATATAAAATAGTTTGACTAACATGCTTATACTTATTTTACAAAGGTTTTATTTTTAACACTAGATTTTCATATTAGTAATTAATTACAAAATACTTCATCTATGATTATTAAAGCAATAACAACTCTCCTCGTAATACACAACTTGATAGAATAAAGTTCTATTTTCTTGCACCAATCTCATGTTACCATTTTTTTTCTATCATTACCTATCTAGATAAGATACTCTGGAGTTCAAAAACTAGGCTGCAACGTGTGAAGTTGTCACTCAGCTTATAGAATTAGTAACTACGTTTATAAATCAATTTTATTACAATAAAACAATTTAATGAATGAAATCATATGTGGTTTTTCAATGTATCAAAGCAATTGCTCCAGCATAAAAGAATCATCTTATTATTGTTACCTTAACAATGATAAAACATTCAAGACAAACCTGACCTATCGACCTAATCACAAAAGGCTTTAACAAATACTAAACACCATTATGAAAACAACGAAAAAAAAAAAAAAAGAAAAGAAGAGAGAGAGAGGAGAATGATTGAACAGAAGATCTGTAATCTAATAGTTGTAAATGAAACATGGCATTTAGAAGGGGAGCAAAATATGTCATCAGCACGAGCCTACATAATTATTTCACAACAATGCAACCAGCCTCAATTTACAGTCATTAAAATTAAAAGATCCTCCATACAACCTCAAACAATGGAATGTAATAGAATTTTACATTACTTTTGCAATTCCAGCTACAAGTTTTAACCGTAATCCGAACTTAACTAATGACTAGCAAAGAAACAGAGATAAACCTACTTAAATTAAAAATTAGAGAAATAAGGCAAAAATGGAGGACAGATCATCTCCATTTCTCTTGTAGATCTTTCCTCTCGGATAATACCCAAGTGACAAATATTGCAGCTACAAGTGCAACAATTGTTAGAAGAAGTAGAGCATAACTGAAATCCTCAGTTAATGAGTCGTAAGTCCTAGAAGGAGCAATCTGAGTAAAAAATAGATCTACTCCATAGGCAAATACGAGGGATGTAGACTCCAGCTTGGCAGGCACTGTTACGATGCCTCGCAGACCTTCCACTTTAAGGGAGTGTGTAATATAGGACTGCAGAAATTCAATCAGAACAAATAAGCAATGCAAGTTTAGAAGTACATTAAGCTCAAGTAGAAGCGTGAGAGGTTGAAGTTGGTGATAAAAGCAAATCTTACAAATATGTATTTTCTTAAGCATACTACTAAACTTGCCAATTGAGAGAAAATATATAAATACCGGTTGCAGCAAGGAAAAGCAGATATTAAAATCGTATTTCCTACATAAAAATAGCAGTGATTCATTACTATTTCTACGGTTCCTTCAACCTTGAACACAAGCCGGGTACTTCCACAAGTTACTTGGATACTACAAACATTTGTTTGCAGATAAATCTAGAGAGGACAGGGGCACCTATGCCAGAAATTGACTGCACATCATGCATGGATATATATATATATATATATATATATATATATATATATATATATATATACACACATTAATGGTTCCATGTAATCTGCTCATCTTAAGTTTAAACAACATATAGCCCTTCATTTTTGTTGTCAACCAAAATATTTCCCCTAACCTCTATCCACTTTTAACTTACTCTATCTACCTGACCAAAAGTAATTTAGCATTTACAATGAAAAAGGAAAATGCATAAATCAAGACAGATTCGAACAAGCTAACACCATACATTGAGAATCCATGCATGATAGCACCATTTGTTAGGTTTTTCTTTATTTCATGCATATAGAGAAGGAACGAGAGAAACTAAACCTGAGAAATGATGGGCAATGAATCGGTAAGAGGAATAATTCCTTCTTCTTTCTCAGCTTGCGAGGGATTAAGTGTGCGTCGAGGATCCAAAAAACGTTTATCAAGGGCCAAAACCTGGAAAAGATCCCAGTTGACACCCAAAATTGTAAGATTTGATTGATGAAACAAAATGATACAAAAAATTGTTTCTGTTGATCTGAAGTTGAAAAACTAGGTAGTGTAAATAATACCAACCTGATCACCAATTGTTCCAATAAGAAGCTGCTTAGAAGTTATACCCTTGGCCGTTAAGGTCACTTCTATTGCTTTGACAGAATGAGTAAAAAAGTATGACTGTGATTTTGTTGTAATTTCTGGTCGATAATACGAAGACATGGGCGATGTAAGATTATGCTTCCCAAGAACAAACTTCCAGACATCTTTGTTATCCTGTGAATTATAATCAAGGATATCACATCAGAATGAGAATAGTACCTCGAACAAAAGTATGAACACAAAATAGCATGTAACCCAAGAAAGATAGTAACATATACCAAAACAAGAGAGAGGGGTCATTAAATGAAGATACGCAAGTTAACAGACATACCGCTCGAGACTGATCATAGACCTCAACAACTGACATCTCATATCTGTGTGCTCTGAGATTAAAATAGTGGTAGACAACCCAGTTTTCACTAAATACCTATAGAAGTAATATTCATGTAAGATATTAAACAATTTAGTTTTACACCTTTTAAATGAGTGTAGTTCAAAAACTTACCGCATGAACAGGACCCTGGCAACCATGATGCGTCATGCGATGCAATATGCGACCAGTCACAGTATCAATGATATAGATGACCAACCATGCCTCCTCTGGGGTGGCTGTTCCAATTTCCCCTCTGGCTTTTGGTGCTGCATTTGCGACAAAAAGTATATTCTTCGATACATACTTATACATGACATCATAGTCAGTCATAACTTTTGCTTGAGTATGTACAACCTACGTGAAAAAGGGAGTAAAAACTTTACAAAGAAGCAAAGCAACGACTAAGACTCAATAGAAAAAAAGGTCAGTTTAAAACATGAACATGAGAGAAAACCCTTAATTGTCATATTATTTGTGATCATTTGTATATATACTCAGATCAGTATAGATACAACTAATATGAATTCAGGAATACATAATGCATATGAAAGAGCATTATCAGACTTGGACAAAAATGACAAACATCACTCTACATATGGTAGATAAAAAATTCTTTTGCAACATCCCTCCAAATTTAGACTCATTCATTAATGCTATTATTGATTTGTAATAAAACCCACCTTAACAAAAAGGCAACTTGTAAGCTTGTTTATTAGAAGAAAAAAATGAGGATTTT